CCCACAACCCCAAGTGGTCGTGTCCAGCTCTTGGCGATTCGCAAGCAACCAATGCCTTTTTCTTGTACTCGGGACACCCTCCCTGTCTTAGACCAGAGTGCCCACCTCGAGCAAAACCGTTGGCGCAACTTGCTTCTCCCTCGGACGTTGTTGCGTACTGCTAGCTCTTTTCAGCGCGCCAAGGCACATATGTAGAGCTTTTATGCAATTGTTTTTCTTGGAACAACGACCAGCTGGACCCGAGTTTACCCTTGCATAAAATTGCATGGTTTTTTGGCAGGGGAGCCGTAGTAGTGTTCCTGACCTCGCACTTCGGGTGATCGTCCAACTCTTTGGGCCCGATACGAAACGATACGCAGGCGGGTTATCAAGAGCTAGTGAACGCCATCATCCGACCCCCGAGAGCGAGATACGAAGTCGAGGCGCTCGGCCCGGTGGAGTTCGAGTTCCTGGGGAAGGCGTTCAAGCGCCTGGACTTCCGGCTCCTCAACGATCGAGGGCACGTGCTTGAGTGCAGGTGAGCGTGCGTGTGTCGTATGCGGCAGATGCTCACGGGTCAGGGACAGTTATGTTCATCTTCTTGAGCGTCGACTACTTATGTTTGGACTGCTCCCGGTCCCTTCGCGCGAATAGTCAGGGTATTCGACGTATTCACCGGTGTGTTCCAAACACCGATGGTTTGTTTGTGGGTTGTGTCGAGGACGCTTTTTTGACGTGCTCGTGCAGCGTTGCTGTTCTTTGTCTGTCTTTTTTAGAGCAATCGTGGGCATGTTCTCATTGGTCGGGATAGGGGGGTAAGGGGCGTGCATACGATGCCCGTTCCCCTCCTCCAGTGATCATTTCGAAGCCAATGCTTTCCGGGGCTGCTATGTTGTTGTACATATCAGGCGTCCAGCTTAAAAAGATACCATATGATCGAACTTCAGGAGAGGGGAACCGAGAGATACGCCAACAATTGACTCCAAGGCTGATACCCCCCCCCCCTCTTCCATAGTCGTAGAGAATGGGGGGAAAGAGACGGAAGTACGAGTATGCACAACGGATGTAGGCACTACAGACCACGCGTTGGTGTGGACAGCCCTACAACAGACGAGAGTCATACAGAGTAGGCGACGCAGGAAAATGTACAGATGGAGAATAGATAAGCTAGAAGTAGAAGAAACGAGGGTAGAGTTCCCAGAAGAGATGGCTATTAACGACAAGAAACTCTCGGAGTTGATAGAGACAATGGGCACACCGAAGGATGCCGAAGGCCGGGACCAGGCCGGGTCTAGAATCATAGAAGGGTGGGAAGAGCTGGTAAACACAACAGCAAGTAGAGTTCTAGGTAGAAAGTTGATAATTTGTAAGAGAGCAGTGAAGTGGTGGGACGAAGAAATCAAGCAAGCAGTTCGAGTACGTAAAGAGTCACACGCAAAATATGCGGCAGGGAAAACAGATGCAGGATGGAAGGAGTATGTTGAAAGTAGAACGAGGGTGAAGGAGTTGGTCGTGAAGAAGAAGAAAGGGTTGTGGGAGGAAGTAGTCCAAAAGATTAACGAAGATTTTGAGGGGGGGATAAAGCAAATGTGGGTAGGAGTTCAAGGGATAGTGGGCAAGAAAAGAGGGGGAGACACGGAAATAACGACACTAAGATCTGCCGAGGGTAAGATGGTAAGCAGTTCTAAAGGAAAGAGGGAAGTACTAGTAGAGCACTACCGCGACACCCACCACCAACGACAACTTCGACTCGGAGTTTGAGAAGGAAATCAACTCGTGGGCAGAGGAAAACGTTGAAAGATCTCGGAGGGAACGTAGTGATGTAGACGGGTTGCAGGGAGAGTTCACACGAGAAGGGGTAGAGGACTGCGTAGCGAAACTCAAGAATAGAAAAGCGGCAGGGGCTGATGGAGTTGTGAACGGGCTTTTGAAACAGGGGGGGGAGGGGATGATTAACATGTTGGTCCGGATATTCAACTAGATATGGAAACACGAGTACGC